CAAATAAGGATGAAATCGGTTAACAACCACGCCTGAAATCACGATTATCACTTTATCATGCGAGAGTATAAAATGTTCGGTGACACCCGAATTTAGCCCTTCCTTACTTGTTTATATTATAAATTGTGGACTTTCATGAACAAAATATGTACCATTATTCTGCATTGACCGAAATAAATGGAAATCCGATGGTGTAAAGTCAGGGCTAAATGGTGGATGTATCAAAACTTTCCAGCCAAGTTCTCCCAGTTTTTGCCGAGTCATCAAAGATCATCAGTTCTGACCGTTTTTTCGATTGCTTGTTACAATCTCATCAGTTGTTGATGGTAAAATGTGAAAGCAGTCGTTCGACCAGGCTGGAGCAGCTCATAGAGGAAGATTACTTACCAAACACCTTTCGAGGCGTCAATTGTGGTTTTGCGAGCATTTTTTGAGCTTCACCACGCTTGGACCGTGATCGTTTTCGCACATTGTTGTTGTATTTGATCCAAGTTTCGTATCTTGTTACTATTCGCTTCAAAAATGATTCGATTTCATTTCGCTTCAGCAAAGATTTTATGCGGTTCATTAAACTTTTCGCAGAAAATTCGTGTGGTACTCAAACAATGAGCTCCATTTTGTCACTTTGTCAGTTGAAAGTAGAGTTGCATTACAACCGGGTGCCGAACCTAAAATATGTCGCCAGCAGGTATGCACCAAAGTTTATAAAACAAAGTTCATAAAACAAAGATTTATCTTTTCGTTCATGACGTCATGAACCAGCGCAATTTGCCGCCAAAAGAGTAACGGCACTAATTTGTCGTAATATATACACTTTTTATCGTCAGATACTCGTTCTATAACTTTTGGTGTATCTGGATTCGAGTATTGTTTCAACCACTATAAAAAATCTTTCTCACAACGGTCGTTCGGCAGTTCATTACTTACTTCTAAATGTACGAGTATAAGCTCATGGCACACATCACAAATGATAGTTCGCTCATAGCGACAAAAGCTGCAAACACCAGTTATATGTACACTTCATGGTTTCACTTTCAGCTGAGTCCATAACCATTAACAGTTCAAAGTCAGTAAAACTCTTCAACTCTATCAAAAAAGTATCACCGGTTTCAGTGTCATCATCAATGATGAGGAATATACGAGTTTACGCCGGACATTAAGCCGAATATCAAAACATATTTGGTCAGGGTTATAAGCCAAACAGATTATTACATCATTAGTGAGCATATGTATATTGAAGCATTGTGTAATGATTTGCAATGATGACTCAAAATTATGAAGAATGTGCGTTTTCATTGGCAAACGCACTAAAATTAGCATTCATGTTTTATTTATGAGCGTCAATGCTTACGAGTTTTTTCGTTAGTGATATATGGTCAGAAGGTTATAAGTATCGTTTTCGTATTCCTGACTTATCACTTTAGTTTTTTAGTTGTTCGAAAAGCAGTTAGACCAGAATAAAATTTAGGTAATTTATGTCAAAGATACGCGCTTAGGATTATGGTGCTTTGCCGGATATTTGCACATCCAAATAACAAAATAATATGGAATGGCATTAATCGATTCAAATACGATTCCGGAATTCAATTGTCCTGTGTGAAATAAAAGACATCGTAAAATGAAAACTAGTTATGAACAAAAGACAAAAAGTTTTAATATTTATTATAGTCTCACAGTTTAAAGTTTTGATATTTCCTAGAGAATATTTTGAAAACATTAAGAGATATCAATCATGTTTAGAAAAGAAATGCCACTGGTCAGAGATTATATTCATATCAAATTTGTTTTGAAATATTCTTCTGGCAAATATGAATTTGACTAACATTGTAAGCTAAGTACGAAGTCATCTAGACAGCTTATTCTACTACTTTCGTAAAGCTAAATTTGAAGCGATCTTATACCTTCATATATGTACGTACATTTTAAAAGCGCTCGTCAATATACGTACGAAGGTTGCGATACATTTTTTTCTTGTATTACAAAAGATTAGTTTTCAACTTCGAGAAAGAAAATGTAGGTTTCAGTTTTACTACTTAACAGAATCCCACCTATACCGTAATAACACTAGGAAAGCGTAATGTTGTCACCAATTTCGCTTGATGCAGTAGTACTAATATTAGTACTATTATATTATGCATAAGGACTAATATGCGTGCATACTAAAATTAGGACGGGACCTCGCCAACACTTGTTGACAGATAAACGGAAGGAAGAACAGACGTACATCGAAAATCAATTATTCTTATATTTTAGCAAAGAAATGAATTATACACTCGCAACATGTAAGGTTATCTTTGGGCCTACGTTATTTGCGGCTTAGAACGACGGTCCGATGTGGTACTTGAAACTCATATATATTATAATATATCATAACATCTCTGTCAAAAGTTTTTTTAGGCTATCACAAAATTTTTTCTTGTTCGCCGAAGTTAGGTTTACCAGGATGGTCCATCCTGCGCGCCTATGAATGCCTATTGGACGATGGGTAATAAAAACTCCTACGATTGAGTCAAGATGAACTTTGCCAATGGCAATTAGTTTAATATATCTCCTCCGATCTAGTCTAGGGCAAAAATATATCGAAGTTGCGCAGCAACGCATTGTCAAAATACGCCAGCTAGCACGCGAGGTCTATTGGTCTAGTGCTAGGACGTAAGGCTCCAATGAAAATCCAACTCTTACTCGTTCTGATCTGAGCGAGGCAAGAGTGCTCCTTCTTGTTAGCTCATCGGCTTTGCAGCTGCTCCGTGTTGACCGGGAACGAGTCTGATGGTAAAGGAGCTTGATGCAATTTTAAGTTAGGACAGTTAGCGAGCACTGACCTAATACTGCAGCTTTGCTGTCGGGGTGATTGCTAACAGCCTTCACAATATGTTATTACAAAAGTGTTATTTTAAATAAAACAAAAAGTTTTGGGATATCAATAAAACTCTTAATTTCTGTGGAAGCACATTCGATGGAATTATGTATGTAATGCGATTTCTTTTGCATGGCTACCACGGGTACGTTTGCAGAAGTCCAGATGCTGAACCCAATATTCCACGGTTTTCAAGCATAAATCGGGCGATACTGTTGCAATTTCACGCTCGACATTTGTACGCAGTTCATCAATCGTCGATCGCTTGTTGGTATAGACCCTTGACGTAGCGACACATGAAATAGTCTAACGGCGTCAAATCGCACGACTGAGGCGGCCAATTGACTGGGATATTTCCGCGATAACACGTTCACCAAGCTTGGTTTTCAATAAATCGATTGAGGCATTCGCTGTGTGATTTGTGGCGCCATCCTGTTGGAACCACTTATTGTCCAGGTCCATATAATTCAATTCGGGCCAAAAATAATCTGTTATTATTAAGCGATAGCGATTCTCATTCACAGTAACGTGCTGGTCTTGATTGTCACGGAAGACGCCGCCAGCCTATGAACCTCACCAAACCGTAATTTTTTCGAGATGCAATGGTGACTCCATAACGCATATTTTGCTTATTGACGATGATGAAGATGATTTTTTGATGAAAATCCGGATCAATTTCAAGTTGTTGCTCAGCCCATTTCACGAACATCCGAGTATTCTGGTGGTCTTTGCGACTCCAGTTTTTCGTCAACTTGATCTCGAAAGGATATAGGCCAAGATCTTTTCACCACAACGTTGTCCCAGGGGTGACCAACGCTTGAGAACCACGTGTGAGAGACTGTTTTAATTCTTCCTCAATTGATACGCTAGTGGCAGCAATATTCTCGACACTACGGGCACTCCTTTGTCTCTCTGGCACAGGACCTATGGATTCAAGTTCTTCCATTAGACGCTCCACTGACTCCGAATTTTAGTAGAAAATTTTAATAATTCCGACTCGTTGTTGGATCGTATATATTTCCATGATAAAATGGCAATTCTTAGTGAAGAGAAACGTCAAAAGAGCGCGAAAAAATATTACGTCGTTTGCGTCCCTATCAATCTACTTTTGCAGCGTTCCTATTGAAAAACCCGTTAGTATTAATGTAGTTTCATGTATTATTGATTTTTACTCACAAAGTTTACGATCTTCGATTTCTTAGGAATTTCTTTTGTTTCAAGATCTTCCACCACAGGTTTTTTGTTTCAAAATTTCAACCTTTATTTATTTCTATTTTTTAATTTCTAATTTAATTTTAATTTCGCAAAACTTAATATAACCATAAAAATGCGGTATAACACCTCAAATTACATACAAATCTAAAAGTTGCTTACCAAATCTCTGTTATTTTCCAGTTTCTTGTCGTAGCCATTTTGGCCACCTTCTCTCTCTCCGTGAATGCTGGTTTTCTGGATTATGTTTTTCCTACCGTTATGTCGGAATTCTATAGCCTGGCACCTACGAAGGAGGGTTATCGTTTTAAGTAAGTGCGAAATGGTTGTAATTATAGTTTTAAATAATTATTATCATCAATAATTATTCTTATTTTCATTTACTGTCAATAGCTTGGAAGAACCAAATGGCAGCAAACGTGAGGAAATCGGTGTGATAATGAATCCTGGCACCGAGGACGAACAGCTCGTTGTCATGGGTAGCTACACGGTTTACGATGAGAAGACCGACACCGAAACGATCACAATGTACACAGCCGATAAGGACGGTTACAAGCCACGCTACATGATTAAGAACCGCAAATTGAGCCCCGGTGCTTTGAAATCGGCCGCTGGATAAGCAACCAGCTGCTTAGCTACTTTATATATAATATATGTTTAATGATAAAAACTTGTAAATTTAAATTAAATTGTTTTTATTTTTTTTTTCAAAAGTACTTTACTGTTAAATACTCAAATATTTACTGCCATTTTTGTACGAAATAAAGTTTTTAATTGTAATTTATTTTCAAAATTTCTTTCTGTCGCCGGCAACAATTCTTAAAGCGAAACTGGCTTATTTATCCACAGAAAGCGCACAGTTGCTTAATGACAGTCGTTAGTTGTCAAAAGGTATCTGCTTGTGTCATTTAATAGCTGTCATTAGTGAATTCCTCAAACATCGACTTTAATTGCCGTCCAAATTAGCATTTTAATTTCGAATTGCTTCATTTCAGCAGCAAGTTGATTTATGTTCGTCGTCAAGCCACCTACATGCGCTAACGTTAGTATACGGATATATGCTCTCATAGATCAAACAAAAAAAAAAAAAAAAAAAAAATTACATAAGTGCAAACAGTAGTTTATGAAAGCGTCTGCTTGCTTATTAGCGAGTACTTTTGTCATAAACCGATCGCGCAGTTAATTAATTATTGCTAATAATTATCACTTGATCTATTGGCTCCTCCTAGGTCCTAGGTCTGTGTAAGCATGTATGACGTAATTGTTAATTGTCAACCTCTGACTTCTTCTCTTATCTCACGTTTGACACTTCTCAGTTATTTAACACTCGTGTGACTCATTTGGGCAATAGATTGGCTACATGTAGTTGGTTTGCCTCGTTTGTCAATGTTCTACAATTTTCATTGCCACACGACGGCACAGCGAAGCGATTTTTATGATTTTTCATTCGAAATCAAGCTGATCGGTTGAAAAAGTTCATAGTGTTTTTGGTCCTGAACCTGTGCCAGCCAGTCATACGTAATTTGGTTTTCATCGATTCCATTCCGGTCATTTTGAAGACAAAGACGACCGGGAGCCCAATTGTCGTAAATATCGATAAAATATTTCGTTTATTCGAGTCGAGTTAATCTATCTTGTAAACTCTGTTTGAATTGCACAAGCAAAACACTGATTAGAAACTTTAAAAAGCTGGGCATAGAAAGCAGCTCGATATATGAGAAATTCCATTTGTAAGTGACTGCTGAATCGCAACAAATCGATTCGTTTCTGAAACGGATGATTACTGGTGATGAAAGGTAGTATCACTTCATACCACGTCAATCGAAATAGTCGTGGTCGAATTGTGGTGAGTCGTCCTAAACGGACAAGTCAAGACTAACGGAGAGATATATTTTGCTATATCTTTGGTGGCAGGAGATCATCTATTGAGAACTCCTCCGCCAAACTATTAGTTCAGATCTGTACTGTCAACTCAGCCGTCTGTAATAAGCAATCCTCCAGAACTGGCCAGCTCAGGCCATGGGAAGAAGAGCGTTCCATCAGAACAAGGTCAAGTCATTTACATCGACAGCGACTCTCCAGAAATTTTGAGAGCTTGACTGAAATGTTTTTATGCCTCGACCCTATAGTTTGAAGAGAAAGTGATCTCACTTTTGACACGAAGGTGATTTTCACAAGCTCCTCTTGAGACGAATTTTTCACTAGCAAAATAACTCGCCATAGACATGAATAGATAGTAACCACTTGATGCCAGGTCGGGTCCTCGGTGCTTACTGCGCCTCGTTCAAATTTGGCGAACCACTTTTCAGCGCTTGATTTTCTTGGTGAGCAGCCCAAATATTGTTGACCAATCCAAACCTTGGTTTCAACAAGGAAAAAGTCAAAAGAGCTACGCTTTATTAACAAACGAAATTTCTGATGTTATATTTTTTTTATAATAACAAAAGTGGCTTTGCTTAAATTAATTCACAAACTAATGTTCCGACAGCTGTAGAATTATAAAAGCGCCTTTTTAAGGTTAGGGCTAACTGAAAATCATATAGATTTAATTCTAGTAACGCCATCTATGTATGTGTCACTCCAGATATTTTCAATTGACTTGTTAATACTATTCCTGGCGGAGAAAATTTTTTGCAAATATTTTGAATATTTGGAGGTCTGTTATTAATGGTTAAGTATTGTGTTGAGAGAGCGAAACAAGAATTTTCATCATCACAATTTTCTACGAATCTATTAATCTCAAGGACATGCAGATATTTCTTAATCAGATTATTTGTTTATATTATAATTCTTCACTTTATGGAGTATATTTTGAAATATTGATCGATCGCTATCACCAATAGATTCATTCAAAGTTTGAAAAACTAAAAATCTTTAATATTTTGTAAATCAGTTAGTTTTTATGAAATGATACGGTAAAGTTAGACTTTTCAGATATATATATTTTGGATTAATAGTTTTGTTTACAAATTTCTTAACACCTTTTCCTCTCTTCCACTTTTTTGTCGCCATAAGCCGCCTGTGTCTGCGCCGTGGATAAGGGTCGTCGCGTGTGCTGTGTGCCTGTGGTCGTTTGTCTTTCACATTATCATTAGCAATCGTTTCCAGTTTCATGTCATTCGGCAGCTGTAGAAGTAACTAAATTGTGGATGCTTACGAAAGAGTTTGGCACGCGCTGCTGTCATTATAATTCTCGGTAAATTTGATTTATTTACCGCAAATAAAGATACGTTTTAATCGAATTGGTAGATATTTGTACACAACTTGTAAACGTCAGCAATAAAGTCGTATTAAGTATTGCTAAAGAGAGCCATAAATATTGCATTAAAAATTGCAGATTTACTTAATGCTCGGCTAACAGATACTTTGATTCATGATGTCATGTCCTACATTTAAAATTCTTTCAAGTATCGACAATTATGCATTACTACTATGGCATAATTGAAAATTTTGTAAAAGCCTGTTGTATAGTCTACTTTATCTAGCAAGCATATATTATATTTTAGTTTGTCAAATCTCATATTGATTGTTGTTCAATCGTAAAAACATACCTCAAGCGATCTGTCAAAAGAAAATTGTACTCGAAAAGCATCATGATGGCATTAAAGAAATGGCATTAGCTGAACTCTCAAACGAATTTTTTCATTTCCTTTCTATGTAAGTGTATGCTCAAAATGTTGAAATCTCTTCTAAATATGTGACTATTATTCATAATAAGACATTTAACAACTCATAGTTGTATACATACACATATGAACATTAAGGAGTCCGTTATTTACCAAGAATTTTTTTGTTTTTTTTTAACGCCTCCTGAAGTCTTAGTGTTTCTCTAATAAAAGGGACCCAATTTAGACAAGGTCTTTACTTTAAATGTAAATCGTGCCTAAGTCATTGTTCTTTTCTCCTCTATATACCACAACCTTTTTTCACATTTTGCATCAATCAAATTTAATGTACTAAGTCTTAGCAATTTAGTAAACGAGCATGCATACAGAACCATCTCGCATGAGTACAATGAGTGGTACTGGTATAAAATTTAGTCGACCATTTTTTGCCATTTTTCCGCTAGAGACATTATTACGTCAGTTTAAAACTTTTCTGGATTCTTGGCGAAAAACTGCGACAATTAACTTTCACAGGCTTCTCTTGAAGCCAATTTTGCTCCATTAAGGGAATTCTGCATTGACCGAAACAAATGGTAGTCCGATGGTGCAAGGTCAGAACTATATGTTGGATGTATCAAAACTTCCCAGCCAAGCTCTGGCAGATTTTGCGAGGTCATCAAAGATGCGTGCGATCTAGCGTTGTCAAGATATAAGACGAAGCCCTTTCTGTTGCTCAGTTCTGTTTGTTTTTACGATTGCTTGCTTCAATCTCATCAGTTGTTGACAGTAATATGTAGAATTAATCGTTCGACCGGGTTGGAACAGCTCATAGTGAATGATTCCCTTCTAAACCCACCAAACACGCAGATCATTTGCTAAGCTTCACCACGCATGGACCATAATCTTTTTCGCACATTATTGTCGTATTTGATCCACTTTTCATCACATGTTACCATTAGTTTCAGAAATGGTTCGATTTCATTTCGTTTCAGCGAAAATTCGCAGATGTTATTCGGTCCATTAAATTTTGCACAGACATGTGGTACCCAAGCATCGAGCTTCTTTTTGAAGTCATTCTTTTTTCAATGGTTCAAAACCTTTTGATAATGAATGTTCAGTTGCATCTTTCACATTTCGACTACCCAATAATATATTAAGGGTAGATGGTTAAGGGACTTACTATTACATTCAGGCTTACAAACTTCAGCTTGTGCAATAATTGAGCTGTCGAAGGACCATCCGGCGCGTCGCACGTTCGGTGACTGGGCCCACCTGCGCTGTGGGCCTGTAGCGTTGCCTCAGTGTTAGAGACTGAAACATAATGGCAAGTTTAAAAAAAACATCGATTATGAATGCTCAGATGCACATTTATAACAATAAACAAAAATTTTTATAGAATGGAAAAATTTTGTTAAATTTTTAGCTCTTCTTGTTTTGGAGTTAAAAAAATAAACAAAAAATCATAATGAAATATATTGGAATATTTTTAGTTACATTTTAAATAAAAAAAAAACCTTTTTCGGGCAATTATTGTTGGGTGGTACCAAAAAAAAAAAAGGGAAATAATGAACACCCTAATGTGCATATATAACTAGCTAATATGCGATAATAAAGCCCGAGTGCATAATGACTAGTTTTCACTTTAACTTTAAATAGATATGTGTTTTGCATAAATTTGAATTTATTGCGGTATGACAGTTATGTCACCGCAAATATTGACAGCATTTTGTGGCATATTGCATATTATCCGCGTCAACTTTTATTGTATGCAAATGGTCATAATTACTTCCACGCAGTGTGGGATCCCAGAGGGTTAAAAAGGTGGTAATTTCATGTTTTTTGAAATAAAAAACTTATAAAGACACTTTAGCATACATATTTGAATAAAAAAAAAAAACAATCGACACATTAAAAACAGTTAGAATGTAAGTAGACGAGTTTTGCAATTTTTTGTTGGTCATTACGGTTATGTTAAATGGTTATCCATCCACAATATGCTTACTTATAATAAAACACTGAGCACATGAATAGATAGCAGTGTGCGCATCACACAGAATGATATCTTATATATAAAAATGAATCGCAAAATGTGTTGTCAAGCGCATACTCAACAACGCCTGGACTAATTTTGCCAATTCTGTTTTTAAAATGTTCGTTGAGGTTCAAGGATGGACCCCTT